ATACATTCACGGAACACGGAACGTTTCGAGCATGACTACTACTAAGGAGTAGTCGATTATTGACGAATTATTCACCCAGTTGCATGCTTGGGTACGATTCCGGAGAAAATTGGCACTTGACGCAACTTGACGCTTGAAGAAGTGACATGATTGTGTAGGACTAGCTAGGTGCTGAAGCGTTTTTTCGAGGTCAAACGAACAGCAGGTTACGATGGTCAGACTTCCTCGTGACGGTCTTAAATAAGGCCCCAATCTCCGGCCTACTGAACTCCCCGGAGTGGCGACAGGCACGAGTACATGCGCCTGCCTAGAGAAATTTGGAATGACATGTAATATAGGTGATGTGCACCCAATTTGATATTTCTTTCCACCTTTCTTTTGCCCATGTACTTTATGTGGAACTTAATTGGAACCACACATTTATAGTTTTGAAACATCTACAGACGTAGGTAATTTCATGGTATGCTAGGTTACTAGTGGTTGGATTTGATTTCTTTGATGTCCTTGAGCTTTTATTCGAATGACAACATAGAAACCGATGAAAGAAAGGAACTATCAGCGCACGCATTGACAATATTGGCAATGCAGAAGGCTAAGAAATGCACGCTCTGTTTTTGTGGCTTGCTTTGCAAAAAGCTCATTTAAGTACAACATTGAAATGGATTTCTGAAGGAGTGTAACGAAATCTGATGGCTTTCAATTTTGTACCATGCAGTTGCTGGGGTGGGCGCTAATGTGGTTTTGATTGGTTCCATTCTTTGTGGTTTTGTATTTTCAAGACGGATCTGGAATCAATTAACCATGCAGGAGCGTTGATGAGTCGAACGGGTTGGGCAGGGTTTGTCCCAGATTTGTTCCCCCTTACAATATGTTATTTATGACGTTTTACCGTAATTTTAAGGCGCATATTATGTGATTTTTCATAATAATAACATAGCACAATCTTGACTCTTTTAGAACTATTTTGAACCTTTCCTTATTCTTTGAAGTTTTTTACAGTAATTCAAAAGCAACATGCTGTGTTCTATTTTTTTATTCATAAGAGCCAATCATTCTCTCATCAAGTGCTAACTTGTTGCACGAAATCATCTCTTTCTTAAAAAAAAATTTTAGGGTTTATGGTATGCGTTACGGAGTGATCGCGTTCGAAGTATGAAACCATTGATGGAAGATCTGGCAAAGGCGATGGGTGATTCAACGGCGCTCCCGCTAGGTATTCGCCATATATTCAGCTTAGATGGACAGGTCCGCATCACTGATATCGACCAGTTCGAAGACGGAGAGTCGTACGTCTGCTCCAGGTGGGTATTCGAAGAGACTTAATCAATTTACTACCTCTAAAGCTGTTTATTTTTTTTCTTTACATTTTCTTGTATTTTATCAGAGCGGTCAGTTTGATAAGGCTCTTCAATTTTCAGTACGGAAGCATTCAAATCGGTGGATTATACGAATGCGCGGGAACCTTTTTGGTGTTTTGCGCTTTCGAGAACAAATCGACCAAACGATGCTGCCATGCTAGGCCTGTGTGGAACAGATCATGTCGCTGTGAGTTTTTCACCCATACCAATTACTCACTTCATAGTGGCAGAGTGAGTCTTTTATCATCCCTATCGATCTTTGTCTTTTTTGTGCCAACTCCAGCCAGAAAAGAATGATGAGGAAGTCTGGGAAACGGGATAGGGGGTCAAGAAGGGAGGAAGGCAGGAAAAGGGCGAATCACGTTTCTGTGTCTATTTACTTGATACAATCTATAATTTCTGTCTATGGGTATGGTGGTGATTATGCATTTATGATTGTTCATCTTATTGAATTCTGAAGTTAACTGATCCCACAAGAAATCTTTAGCGTTCCTGTTGCCTTTCCGAATAGAGACTCTATGGAAGGCTCTCAGAATGCAGAGGCCTGTAACAATCGGAACAAAAATCTTAGTTTCCTGCGGCTTGTTTTTGAACGGGCAGTTCTAGTCACTGGAATGTCAAAAGTTGCGGGAGACGCAACATCAGCATTAGTTATGCTTGGATAGTCTTAGCAGCCGC